TCTGCGCCGTGGGATTACGATGAAAGTTCGATCCCCTGGACAATCAAATTCTTCTGACAGTACTTACTCTAGGAAGTCGTATTTCTGACATTTCATTAATTTTTCATACTTGAATTTACGCTTGATTTACCCGTTCCAATAAACCCGGTATTTCCAGTCAGAAAATGCTCTGAGAGAAAACACCAGCCCCAAAATAAATAGTTCAGTTGTGGGCTATTCGATATCTTCTAATCTTCATGAGTCCAGCAGCTCAGTGCAATACATCGAGATACTTTGCAATTTAGAGCGAATTGTCAAAATAAAATTGCCTCATTTCGAGTGGTAAAGTGATATTAAGTAAAGCATTACAGGAACGTGAGAAATATGTAGAAGGGGCGAGACTTCTTCACACGATAACAAACAAAGGAAAGTGACTGATAATACAGATACTGCCGAAGAGGAAGATGAAAGGGGTGGGGGAGAAGAAGAAGAAGAAGAAGAAGAAGAAGAAGAAGAAGAAGAAGAAGAAGAAGATGGAGGAGGAGGAGGAGGAGGAGGAGGAGGAGGAGGAGGAGGAGAAGAAGAGGAATGAGGAGAAGAAGAAGAAGAAGGAGGAGAAGAAGAAGAGGAAGGAGGAGGGAGGAGAAGAGGAAGGAGGAGGGAGGAGAAAAAGAGAGGTGAAAAATACACTCGACTTCTCCCTTAACACGTCTCTCCAACCGACTGATCCCACACGCAGTAAAACAATTCTGCCACTTCTCTTAGCAGAGCCGCTAATTGGCCAGCTAGATCTGCTCAATGTATGCCATTAAAGGCGTCACGGTTCGGGGCCAAACCGACACGCTTGATTAAGCGGACATAATTGGCCGGCTCACGGCCGTGAAATCACTGTGCCGCATTGATTGATATATCGACTGGTCGGTCATGCCGCTGGAATATTGTGCTCCAGAATACTACTGGCGACCCAGGTGGGATCACGATACTATTTTAAAGCCATCAAGTCACTGCAAGAAAAATTCTATTTTGACATCTTTGCAAAGGGTTCCGAATTTCAACAAAAATTATTCGGACCTTGGTCAGGGCCATTTTCTGGGTAGTGGGTTTGTTGGGTTTTTTCTTTCAGACAAGGGTACATGCCAAAACATATTATTTGATTGGTGGTTTGACTTGGCTTACTTTGAGAAGTTTGGGGTAAATTGGCACACTTAAAAAAAATTCGAACAATAAATAAATTATAAAATTGACATTCGTAAAAACCCAACTTTTCGGGGAATATTATGGGTTGTTTTTTAAAAATCCCTTTAGTTGAGAGGCTTGAGTCATACTATCAGCATACAACAGGCCTGAGCTGGATAAAAATTGAGGTGTGAAAAAGAAACGTATAGCAACCATTACTAGTGGCGTGCAACCTGAAGCGAGGGAATGTAGAGGGCGGTCGTTCTCGCTGTGTCAACAACAGCAAAATAAATACGTTTCCAGACACAATGGGCCTAATTCCACGTGTTTCTTTTGTGTCGGGCGCGCGTCTGCATTGTATGATCACAGGTATATCATAGCCAGCATACGCTTCATGAACCCAGCACTTTCCGGGTAATGTTGTCAGACTCATATTACGAGCATACAATCCACGTTCTAAATGGATGCAGAGAGCCTGGTTCACCGATTGACGCTAGTACTTCACTGTCTTTACGGAAGTCCCATTGTATGGCTTGTCAATAACGGAAACAGTGAATGTTGCCAATCTGGAAAGGGGGAGGTTAAAAATGAAACCAAAAAAAGACAACCATGTCTTGTTGTTAACGCCCTATTCGACAGGCAAGTTCCAAAGAATTCAGATGCGAACAAATGAAGGGGGAGAAAAGGGAAGAACTTTTAATGTAAGTCAATTGTTCGAAAATGGTCTCAAACCTCCGAGTTACAAAGCATGGATAAAAACATCCTCGCTGCGGACGTTACAGACAAAGCCATTCATAAGAAAAGAGTCTTCACAAAAGGTCACGGGAACCGCCATATCTGTATTCAACAAATTTGATTTCTTCAAAGTAGATTTCACTTTGAAGTATACAGAGAGAGGAGAGTGGCGTCTGAGGTGTATAATGGTTTGGCGCTTAGTTGTCACAAGCAGGAGACCCGAGTTCAATTCCCGAGTGGGGAAACAGATTTTATCGATTACCGTAGGCCTATCTTACTCTTTCGGCAGGGATGTTACATGCATCCCAGCCCGGGTTGGCCCTGACAGGCAGGGTCAGAAGCCCATCTCCTAAATTATCTAAATTGTGTAGATAGGGGCCTTTAACAACTAACGTAATTTTAAAAAGAGGGAGGACACACCGGTCCCAGACTGATGCAAAAAGGTTTGGTAGACCTGGAAGTGAGGAGAGAACCACTCTGTTCTCTTTCGGCTAAGCCCGAGTGTCCATCAAGCCAGAAACCAGCCGACCAAAAGCCGTCCGTTCCCTCGGGAAATCGGTAGTTGAAAAAGAGCGTGGTTTTATCCTTAGCAATCATTGGAAATTCCGCTTCGATATGTCCACCAAAACGATACGATACTTCCTGATAAAAGACCGGTTGGTTCAAATGCCATAAGCAGCATTTTAATCGAGCCGTCGGGTGACTCATAAGCAGTAGGCCCAACCACAGCCAAAAGCGGAGCATTACATAATTATTGCAAATACCCCGGGTGAGCCCCAGCACCCACCAAAATTCCCAAATAGCCCACTAGTGAGCGATATCTCCTAGGCTGGCAAGCACTGGTTAGCCTAAAATAAAAAACGGAGAAAGAAAGATAAAATACAGAAAGACGAAGTTACATACTGAAGAAAGGAAGAAGAAGAGAAAGAAAGAAGAAATAAAAAAGTGTGGTTCATTCCAAGTCATCAACTATGGGTTTCTGTTTCCCCTTTTCTCTGGACGTTGACTTTTGAGCTTGTACTTCTTCCTCTCTTTCTCTCTCTCTCTCTCTCTCTCTCTCTCTCTCTCGCTCTCTCTCTCACACACACACACACGCACACACACACACACACACTCTTTCCCTCTTAAGATCTTTCCTTCTCTCTCTGTCTCTCTCAAACACATACATACACACACACACACATTCAGAAACACACACACACACACACACACACATAGACACATATACACACACACGTTCACATGACTGCATACATGTATAACTACATTGGCATACTCAAACCATCACGCCTAAAAGTAATGTTAGAGTTAAAAAGGGAGAAAAAATACACACCAAAAAATATAGATTAGCAATCAGAGTCAGCTGTGAAAAATACACAAAGGCTGACAGACAGAAATAACAGGAGTGAGAATAAAATAAAGAGTTCTTCCAGCACTTTCCCCTCTCCACCAACACTTACACACAGCAAAACACAGACAAGACAGTTTCTTGAACACATAACTCTTAACTTCCTCCTCTTTCCTCCCCCCCCCTCTCTCTCTCTCTCTCTCTCATACACACTCACGTACACACACACACACACACACACACACACACACACACACACACACACACACACAAACACAGACACACACAGAAACACACTTATAAACACCTACACATATATACACACACATATACGAACACATACATCCTATGAAATTTCCCCCATGTCACTCTTGTTCTAATCCTTTTATTTCACCCAATCCATAATGGAAGAAGAAGTAAAGAATTAAGGATAAGCTAAGAGGATCTTTCGTGGCATAAAGTTATCAGTCTAAATGTAATACATGCATTGCTCTCAGTAGTGATGAAAGAAAAAGGAAAGACAGCCGAAACAAAGTGACTAGACGATACTGACGAGAAAAAACAGTTGTCTGCAAAATAAATCAGTATGAGGCTAACTGGTGCAGTGAACAATTGTCCTTGAAACAGGTGTAATGTCAAAAAAAAAAGACTGAACGCTTCTGGGGTGCATCATTTTTTGCATTTCTTTTTTGAAGCGAGGCAAATACATTAATTAAAAGTAAACATTTTGAAAGAAAGCCTACATCTCCCAAGACACAGTACACTAGGCTTTACTAAGCAAGTATTAATTACTGAATGTCAGAAAATATTGGGCACAAGACAGAAAGTCATTGTTTCAGATCAAGCTGACATATTTATATGCCACCTTCAAACGCGTCCAAGACAAACACCCATTATCGAGGAGAACAGAGGTCATCTAAGACAGATGATCCTCATAGACAGTGTCATCATAATATAGAAAGTAGTGGGAACTGATTGTTTGTACAGGGGGATGTCTTTAAGAGGTGGTATTTAGAGCAGGATGGACAGTACTGATTTCAATACTGAGAAAGGTAACCTGCTACTGTCAAAGGAGGTGAATAAACATGTTCAAATAGAAAAAAAATGTATGGATATCAGTTTTTTTGTTTCCATTTGAACGTGTTTATTCACAAGTATTGGAAGTAGTGTGTTGCCACTCTCATAATTTTTATGTATAGATGAAACAATATGGTAGCATCACACACAAGAAAGCACAACCCCCAAATCAGTGCGGGTTTTTTTTGAAGGTCTACTGCAATAATGTGGTCTACCGTAAGTACTGCCTGACTGACTGTGTTCCACCTGATGGTCTACCACAATAATTAGCATTTTAACATAAAGTCTTTGAAGGGTAATTGTATACATTTTCGTACTATCATTCCAACATCCTGATGTTTTCTAGAAATCAGAATCACCCCCCCCCCCCCCCCCCACCCCGACAAACTACAACCATCAAAATAGTTTTAATATGGCCAAAGACAGTCTCAAGCAAGTTTAAAACGAGGAAAATGTTTAGTTTTGAGTGTCGTAGTAGACTAGGACACTGTCAATTCGATCAGTTGTCAGACCAGTCCAGAGGTAGAACATCAAGAAGAACAGAGACATTGCAGTAGATTGTCTAGTGGACTGGCACCATCAAATCATCAGTCTCGAGCCGTCTATAATTATCCATATATGCCTCATCTTCCCTTACACAAAACAATATGATAGAACTATAAAATGTCGTAAAAGTGTTACCTACCTTGAGCATTTTGACCTCTCTCATGGCTATCTTCTTCACCATTTTGTCGTCCTCTGACTCTAAGAACTTCTTGATGGCAACCAACTGTCCTGTGTCCTTGTGTCGACATTTGAGCACCATCCCATAGCTGCCCTCTCCCACCAGGCCAAGATTCTCATATCTCTCCATCCCACGGGCAGTAGCACCGCTCAGAACTGACCCACCTGCAGCACCTGATCCCACAGGACTCTGAAAGGAAAGGAAATTTAGTTCACAAAGGACTGCACAAGAAACAAGAAATAAAAGCAACTGCATAAAAGCAAGCCAAATATTCACTTACGGTAGCACAACTTGAAAGAGATCCCAATAAGATGCTAGACAGCTGTAAACATTGCTTGGGGCCACTTTTTGAGTAGACTGTTTTTATCAAGCTCAGTTCATTCAGTTTGAATACAAACTGGAACATAGGCACTCCAAAATAATAATCTAACCTACATTTAGGAGGCTATGCCCTACTGAAAATAGTTTCAATGTGGGATTCAAAAGACATACTTGTGGTGTCTGCTTGGTAAAGATTATTATGAAGACAAAATTCACTGTTGACTCTAGGAAACCACATATAATATAAAAGAATACGCTGCATAAAAACTAAAATTGTGCACATGAAGCACGTAGTATACATGCATGTCATACCTTGTGTCACTATGCATTAAAAGCAAACAATGCATATGTGTCACGACATGGTGGAATCAGGAGCTTGTCAATTTTTGGGCATGTGGAGTTATTGGTATCATCTTAAAGCTTGTTTAGTTGGCTTGCTATCGGGGAAAAAAGTACCCATCTATCTTGAATAGAAGTCAAGATATTTGAGATTGAAGAAGGTGGGGTCGCCTGGTTTCAAAGGTAAAATTAATTAGAAAATGGTCGCCAAAGTTTAGTTATTTCCATAGCTTGAGAGTCTGTGGAAATTGAAAATTGTCATTTTTTGTGTGCTTTTAATTAACATTTTTTTCCCATAAAAATTGATCTGGAATGTGTTCTTAATTGGAAAACAAAAAATGGTAAAAATTGCCAAACTGGCACAAATATGTCTGTTTCTTCAATTTCATTATTTTGACGAGCGCCTGATTTCATCTCGCTGCCTCACATATGATTTTTTTCAAGTATGTAATCCTGTGACCACCAACGAAATGTCTATCAAAACCAATATTGCTTGACATACATACACTTTACTATCACTTGACCACTTGATGCACCAATGAGAGTAACCCCACAGCACAAAAGTTACTTGGTGAAGATAACAGTAGCTCAACACTCTTGCTACAAACATTTTTCTATCACATTTCTCTATTCCATTTGCCAATCTCTTCACCTCCCACTCATTCACTTGCTGACAGAGCCATAGAAGTCGCACCCAAAGTGGTCTACAGTTATGATGACTTTTAGATAAAGTGACCATCCTTCAACTATGTAGGCCCACAAGTTCTTACTTTTGCCAAAGTTTGACAAGACATTTAAAATGTAACACAGTATAGTATATGTATATTACAAAGAGATACAAATGATTAACATGTTTCTGATACAGTGATTATCAACACATAAATATTTTGTAATCATATTTAATTTTAGTTTTAGTAAGAGTTTTACGGCATGCTACACAATAAGGTCATATTAGTGCCGAAGATCAGAGTTATTACAAAAGAGTAACAAACACAAAACAGGAGAAGGAGAGAAAAGGGGAGATAGATGTTTGATAGGAAAGAAGGAGCAAAACTACACTACAGCATCCGCATCCGACCCACTAGGTGACTTATCATATGTCAATATTCAGATTGACAATATCGACCTGTCAGTATCAAATACATGTGCACCCCCCCCCCCCCCCCCAGGCATGTGATGGTCAGTTTCATCTAAGCAGGGAAATCACACAGAACCATAAAACAAGATGGCAACAGAGCGACAATAATGATAAATATAGCCTATTCGGGCAGTATCAAGGAAATGGCAAAGAATACAGACACAGAGCCCTATGTTACCAGTCCACTGGCATAGCCAACCAGTAGCAAAAATGGAAAATAGATCACTGTTGGTTTTTATGTTTCTGTTATACAAAACTTAACATCACAATTATGCCATCAGCAAAATGATCATTGGATCGACAGTCATAACAGAAGTTCACAGGCAAGCAAAACATCAGAATTTGGATAACAGTATAAAACGCTGATAAAATCTGCCATTAGAAACAGATGGAAAAGATCCCACCCTAATCACAATAGACGTGACCCCTACTACACCCTAAATAGAGCAGACAAGGTCACAATCTTTCGACTCCGTTGTGGCCACAACAGACTCAAAAGATGCCAATCATGATATCCTTTAGCACTGCCCACGCTACACCACCCTTCGTACACAGACGTTGCAGAATGTCACTCCTCTTGAGAGAAAGCTCTATCACAGTCTCTCAGATATGAAGCGGACTGCGATGTGCGACATTGGACTGGCTGCTGTCATCGAGAACAAAGAAGAATTTAAGGAGAAGAAAGATAACAGTATTATAATATAATATAGCACTATTTTCTTCCAAAATTAGTACTATGCAACATACCTTAAAGTTCTTTTCGCCGGCTTTCGCCAGCTTAAATTCTTGTTGTCTCCCCTTTTTCAGAAAAATAAATATGGCAAGAATTCATCCGGGTATGTTGGAAGATCTGTTTTATTTCACATGCTGATTTTCTAGTTGTCCACAGCAATAGTTTGAAGGAATAATTCCATTTTGAGGCTTGGTATTTGAGCTGAAGCACACTGATTTATAATCTAAAGTAAAACACAAGGCGTGTGACGTACGTAGGCCTATTATTGAGTTTTCTTTCAAGTGTTACAACGACAGGAGAATGTGCTCTTTCTTCCAACAGTTCTGGAACAAACTGGAAAAAGAAGAAAGTTTGCATTGTAGAATACAGTATCATTATCAAACGAGGAAAATAGAAATAATGAAACATTATTTACAACATGCACAAAAGGAGACTCCAAGCCCTTTTTGATCTCATAAAAGTCAACTAATGGCTATTCGGTTATAAGAAGCTTTTTCCTCAATCATTAAGCCTACTAGACTACTAGATTCTATTTCTATTGTTAGTGTACATCACATTCAATCAACAATCAACTTGTCCCATAGTCTAGACCAATACCCATCAAATTAATAATTTGCTACAGAAACTTTTACGGCGCATAGAATCTAGATCTAACCATTTAGACAGAGTAAAATTACAGAGTGAAATCAAATGTTGCACAGGGAAGTAAAACTCCGTGTCTACTACGCAAAAGGCACAACAGGTCAATTAAATGAAAAGCCATAGGCTAATTGAAATCCGATACGTATAGGACTTGGATTGGAGAAACATTTCCATTCACGATCTTTCACAAAAGGCCACCTCTATTCTCACCCGGAGTGAGAATAGTGCAGGCGAGTCTTGTGGCTATTCTCACCCGGTGCGCGTTCACCAAATTTTGCGTTCACCCTAAACCACAGAATTCTACACTGTGATAACAGAAAAATTGTAGAATTCTGTGCCGTGAACAAACGTTCCATTACAACTGTAGCCTACTAAAAGCGTACAATTTTGTCTGTGGGCAGTGGAGAGAGAGAGAGAAAGAGAGAGAGGAGTAGCGTGAGAATTTCCGGGCAAAACAAAATGGCGACCCGCGTAGTTCGGCTATCGAAAAGTTAAATAGCCGTAGCATCTTTGTAGACAACCAAATTAATTTACTTTTGTGTTTTAACATCATTTTTTTAACTTTGTTTTGGTCAATTTGATCGTCCACACCGATAGACAGTATTCAGAAAGAGACAGAGAGAGAGAGAAGAGGGGAGGAGTTGATCTTGCGAGAACTTCTGGGCGGGTGAGAATAGCCACTTTCTTCACAAAAATTAAATTAAGACTTAAGAAGTAAACGTCACATCCCGCAATTAATAAACACATACCAACCCAAAATCAAGACATTTTTACAGTCTTAGCCCTAAAAAAGTGGACAGTTGGACGGATAGAACAACAAATCACTGGAGAGTTGAAAAAAAACACAGAGTGAAACGTCAACTTTGTTTTTGCAGTCTAAAAAAAAATCAAATTGGTCTGATCTTACAAGTCTTAAACTAGGCTGGTGACTTCAGTGACACCCATGTACATTCCGAAAAAGAGTCATAAATAAATTAAACCACAAACAGAATACTACTACAAGTCTATTCAATTCATAACTTACATATTCACAACGCGCAACTCGCAAGTTTCACAGGCCAGGAAGCCAGTGGCCCTCGTTACATGTGAATCGCGGCGGTGGTCTGGTGTCAGCCATTGCACATTTCCTTATCGCTCTTGTCTCCAGTGACAACAAAATAAAGCTGTGACTTGCGCAAACAATGCTTTTGTTTTTCCGGTATGGGAGTATAGATTCTGTCCAATCAAAATATCGTTTACATCTAATCACTGAAAGAAGTAAACTTCCTGTCTAAACCAAGGGAAGCTATTCTGAAATAACATGATGTGGATGGGAGGGGATCCCACAGGAAAACAATTTTATACCATACATTCAATGCATTTACCGTTATGATTCCATGGTATTTGCTAAAATTCTACGCCCAAAGGCACTTAAAGTTTTCAACAGCATGTTTTGTTCTAGTACTGGCGAATATATTATTTTACAAGTGAGTATTTTGTTCGACTAGATATCTAGATATTAGAGAGTCAGAGAGTGGTTTAGACGACTTCAGAATGAGAGTGTTTCTCATCATATGAATATGGCATTGTTGTTATCATTTGATGATTTATGCAGACTGCAGTAACAGTGAAACTCGAAAGTCGTTGGGACTGACCTGGCCTTATTAATTTTGTTGAATCTGAGTGTTTGTTAGCCTATAAGCATTGTAGTAAGCAACAAGTTGTGTTGCTGTATAGAGTCTAGCATAGGCTGTATGGCAACATTGGTTTCATAGACCAGCACACAATTCATTCCGCCGTAGTTCTATGTCAAAGCTAGTCTAATATATCATTGTTCAGTAACCAAGGTGCTAGGGAGGGGGATATGATTGTGAGGCACCTGTATCTATCTCTCCTGACATTCCACTCACAGAACGCTTGTTCTTAAGAAAGAAAACACAACTCTCTTATTAAATTCACAGTGGCTACGTTCTCGGCGCGTGAACGTAGTCTGCAGGCTTCGTTTACCGCACCCTGAGAATGCAGTTTGCAGGTACTGTTGAGGCTACGTTCACGGCACTCAAGCTTCGAAGCGTCCTCTGCTGGTTTAAGTAAGCCAGTTTTAGTCAGTGACGACAGTGACGTATATTTAATATTTTGGCCTGCTTCAAGCGTTCCATCCCATAAGATGAAGGAAAATGAAGCAGTGATCCTTAACCGATCGACCATTTGTCGTTTTCCCTTACACTGAGCTTTGGCTCAGAGCTTGCTAGTGTAAGGGAAAGCGATGAACTCTCAATTACGCAACAACGCATTAGATATATGTATATATGACAAAAATGTATAAGCCTACCAACAAGATGTTTCAATTGCCCTATCTCGCGTCCGGACGAGACTTGAGCGCGATCTTGTGTTAGAGTATGACAGCCTGTGATATACGAGTGTAAACGAACGTTCCAGCTCTCTCGAATTGAAAGTGTGCAATTTTGTCTGCGGGCAGTGTGTGTGTGTATGTGTGAGAGAGAGAGAAAGAGAGAGGAGAGAGAGGGAGAGAGAAGGGGGGGGAGAAAGACAGAGGGAAAGACTGAGAAAAACAGAGAGAGAAGGGGGGGGGAGAGAAAGAGAGTAGGAAAGAGAAAGGGAGGGGGGTAGAGAGAGAGACAGACAGAATGAGAGAGAGGGTGTGCGTTATTATAATTTTAAGAGATAAATTTATAATTGATTCCTGTCATTTTCTCTCTGCGTCGGTTCGCAGGCTGACCAGGTGCTATACAGTCATTATTGTACACATTTTATAACCAGTCCCATCTTCCAAATCCCACCTTCTGTTTCCCATCTCTCACCTCTTGTTTCCAATGTACCGTATCCAATTTTCCAAATCCCATATCCCGACTTTAATTCTGTAAAGGCGCTTCGTTTTCCTTCCTCTCCTGGGATGGAACACTGAAGCTGGCCAAAATATTAAATACATCACTGTCGTCACTGACTAAAACCGGCTGACTTAAACCGGCAATAGATATAGACACTTCCCCTAAACGAAGCTTTAGTTCCGTGAATGTAGCCTTAAAAGCGCCTGGAAACTAAACTGCATTCAGGGCGCCGTGAACGTAGCCTGCCAACTACGTTCACGGCGGCCACTGCGTATTAAATTTTCATCGGTTGCAAAGACTAGGCTTCCCATCAAACTATGTGACAGCAGAATGAAGAATGAAGAGAAGATGGCTTTATCAATTGACAAGACGTGCATGTAGAAAGCCATAAAACAATGTAAGCAACTTGAGGCTGAGCAAATGTCCTGATTTTACGTATCGACTTAATGTCTCGCTCACGTATGAAAGAAAGGCAACACACCTTGCTTCATTGTGTAGACACTATTACATGCACGCATAGCAGACTAAAAATAGACATGATCGCATCGACAAGTGGGCTCAAAAGATAGGGACTCTTTTTATTCAAAATTGTGTGGAAGCATAGACAGGAACGAAACAAAAGGTTTTTAAGGGTGTACCATGTGTGCAGATACTAGAATCTAGAGGAGTATTATAATGATTTACGGGGTGTATGCCCATAGGGCAGGGAGGGTTAACAAAGAAGAATAAAACATTTTGTTAATCTGAAGATCACTGTAAGAGTAAGAGAGGTTTCATCAACATCAGACAATACACACAAATTCACACCAATGGACATGTGTAATTTTTTAAAGCACATGGTCTTATTCTTCTCATCTATTCACCCAATAAGTGAGACATTCCCAATGAAATCAGGCGCTCGTCAAAATAAGGAAATCAAAGAAACCGGCATTTTTCCACTGGTTTGGCGATGTAGATGTATCAATTTTTAAAATTTTTGGCCAACACCTTCTGAGTCTATATAAAAACACCTTTTTGTGTGGATTTTACTGTATAACATTGATTCTTGACTTTGTACTTCATCTTTCCAGGTTTTGCTTGCGAACTAGAACTAGAGGACTGGCTTCTATTAGGCTTCAATTAGACTAGATGTAGTGTTTATAATGAATCATGGTTCATGTGTTGGTTTCTACACTAGCCTGATCATAAACTGAATCTACTATTTTATGTCGTGACAGTCCATTGCAATAGCTATTGATTTTTATATTTTATCTTTTGAATATTTTGTGGGGTGCAGTAAAGAAACAATAAATTACTGTTTTCTTGTATTGGGCAACATCACACACCAGTCCATTTGCTAAGCAGCAAAAATGCACTACAAAATATGTGAGGCATCATGGTGTACTCTCTAATCAGGCGCTCATCATAGTAATGAAATCAAAGAAATCAGCATTTTTTTGCTGGTATAGTAATAGTAAACTTTATCGAATTTTTGTTTTTTGGCTCCACACCTTTTATGTCCATTTAATACGCTTTTATAGGTGGGTTTTGCAGAAAAAAGTTGATTAAAAGCACAAAAAATTTTTATTTTCCGTTTCCGAGGACTCTCAGTCTCAGCTGTAGAAGTTACCAAACTTTGGTGGCTATTTTTTCACTTATTTCACTTCTGGAACCAGACAACCCCACCTCATTCAATCCCAAATGTCATGACTTCTTTTCAAGATAGATGTGTATTTTTTTCACCGAATTTTAATGAATGCCTGATTCCACAGTGCCATGACACTTACATGGTTTCTATTATCTATTTGTGGTGGCCGAATTTTGCTATTCAAAAGGCTTTTTAATGGCTGCATCGATCGATGCGGTTTTCACCAAAACATTCTTGAAAATATTCTCCAGATCATGACGCACTTCGTTTTTTCAGTTTTGAGGCCGTTTTGCTGCAAAAAGCTAAATTTCTTTATTTCGCCGATCGCTTTTGTAGGCCGACGATTCTGTCTCTGCAATTTTAGAAAATCCGGAAGTGATATTTCATGAGGCGCATTTTGTTTTGAGAGTATAGATCTAGACCTTCTAATTTTTTGCATCACTCAAGATTTATTTCCCCCGTTTAGTAGAGAGTAAATATATATAGTAGGCCAATAACTTTTAGTTGATATTAAAGCACCGATCATTCCTTTCATCGAAAGGGGGCCCAGCTAGTATTATATAAATCTATACATCAAAGTAGCCACTGTTGAGCACAAGAGGACTGTTTCAATGAAAAAAACTGGGTAGATAGGGTAACTAGAAGCACTAGCTAGTGTGGTAGTGGTCTTTTTGATTAGGCTGAAAATTTCCGCTTGTCAATTGCAAACCCTCACAGACCCATTCTCTGGCAGTATACTGACACTCATTCATACATACACATGCTCATTGCTAACAAATGTGTCATGACGCAATGGAATCAGGCACTCGTTAATTTTGGGCCTTTAAAGTTATTTTTATAATCTTAAAGCTTGTCCATTTGTCTTCCTTTTAATTTTATTGAAAGAAATTATACTCCCCTATCTTGATTGAAGTCAAGTTGCGATTGAAGGAGGTGGAAGTTGCCAGGTAAAATTAGCTAGAACATGGCAGCCAAAATATAGTGAATTTCATATCTTGGGTGTCCTTGGTGACTACCAAACTACATGTTTCTGTGTCTTTGATCAACTTTTTCAGTTAAAAGAAAACACATTGAAATGTGTTTTTAAATGGACATAAAATATGTGGACCTCCAAAAAAAAGAAGATAAAAATTGCTCAAGCAACCAGACTAATAATGTAAATACATACCAATACGATCACTTTCATTCCTGAGTGTATACAGTAACATGAACTTTCCATTTTAAGTTCATGCCCTTCTCTTCTCCACACTGATCACAACTGGAACTGGTCACCATGCAATGTTTTGGGTCATCATTATGATTTACTTAAATGTTTTAGTGACCTTATTGTTCGGAATACCTAGTTGGCATGTTTTCACAGCTCCATATTTTTAAATTCACATTTCAGCCTTTTCCATGTGTTTTTCATCTTCTGGGCATTTGCTGGAGGTCTGGTGTTGGCATACAGCTTTCTCAGGTACTTTTGTTTTTGCTATTTTATAATATCCATGTTTTATTAACTCTGTTGTTGTTTGTACTTTTTTGGTTTTTTCTGTCATTGATGGGACTATTTCAACCAAACAGACTCTCAGGACATCCTGCATACACATCCAAGATCTTCTTTAATTAATGGAGACTGAGTTGATTGTTCTGGCCTGTTTTGTAGAATTTGGGCATGTTTTCCGGACTTCCCTTGAAAGGTGTTACATCATTTTGTTTGCAAAATGCGGAAGAATGCCGAAATGGTACCTAGATGGATGAAAAGAAAATTATTGTGTTGGTATTGTTTAGTATGTTCAGGCTTTTTGCCCTCAGTTAGAACAAAAAAGTGGTATTTTAAAACGGTTTATGTGCTTTTTCAGCCCCGATTCTGTACTACCTAACCTGCTGCCTCCATACTCAAGGAAGTCAAGGGTGAGTCATTTCATTTTCAGAAGCTTGTTATATTTGCATGAAAATAACAACTTTTTATATAATAATTTATGTTGTCCTGAAGCATTTTTCTATATTCTTTGACATGTTTGTCAAACAAAAGTCAGGAGGCATTGTTAGCTCAGTCAATCAGTATTGAATCTCAGAATGAAGGTGTCGCATCCTGTTTTGAAATGGAAGATCAATTGTGACTAGTCTCAACAAATACCAGAACAAATGGAAGATATAGTTCTTATATGAATTAAAAAATGGTATGCTTTATTTTGACAGAAGTATCTTGAAGATGATGAGCTGACTTTGATGAAAACTGTGTGCACAGTATGTGGCTTGAAGAGATGTCCCAGACACAGGTATGATGTCTGTGTTTTGAGTTAAACAATGCACGTTGTTACTCTTAGCTGAAATTCAAATACACCTCATTTGGCCTAAAAAAATTATGGTATTATATGTACACAATGTATGTATTAAGGAGACATGATAAACTACTTCTTTGTGAATATTTTTTGGCATTTTGTCAACTTGAGACCTCCGTTGTATGTATGTATTGTACCATTTCGTCATTAGTTTCTTGTCATGCATGTTGTTCTGCTGTTTGTGATTCTAATATCTGAAAGTGATATTTTTTTACCAGCAACAGCACTATTTCTGTGCGGGGATAATCTTACAGGTTGTCGAAATGGGCCCTAAACTGTTTACTTTCCAGCGCGAGGTGACTCTCCTCATACCCCATCATCCATTTCTATCTCGTTATATATATTTATTTTAGACATATCTTTATTGCTTCATTTTTTCCCATGTATTTACATGGGCTAGAAGTATTAGGACATATGCCCTTTGTCATGCTGACTTGCAGGACAAAATTCAGCATTCCTAACATATTCTTCTTGTCCACCCCCCCCCCCTTTTCATTTTTTGCATCACTCAAGATTTATTTCCCCCGTT